GGACGTCACAGCACTCTATTACATTTTCAGCGTAAATCTGAATCGTCTCCTAACACCGAGCCTAGTACAAATACTGCCTTGCTTTTACATAGTATGTCAACTGAACCCTCTCAAAGTATAGTCACACACATGTCTGCTCTCAATTCACAGGTGATATTAGGTACAGCTGTGATGAAGATATTTGATAAATTCACCAAAACGCATTTTGCTAGGGCTTTGTTGAATTCAGGAAGTCAATCTTCATTCATTCGAGAGGAAATTTGTGATAAGTTGAGGATAAAAACACAAAGAATCGATTTGCTCAAGCTATCTGGTTTAAATGGTGGTTTGCTCACTAATATAGAGAGAAAGCTTGAAGCAGCTATTCAATCAAACACGAACGCGTATACAGTAAATTTGTTGTGCTTGATTGTTCACCAAATCACTAGCCCCTTACCAAATATAAAATTTGACGCCACTGCACTGAATATTCCAAACAACATTGTATTAGCTGATCCTGAATTCAACATACCGAATAATATTGATATTTTATTAGGAGCTGATTTTTTCTGGGATCTGATGTGCGTTGGGCAAATAAAATTGGGGACAAAGGGTCCCATTTTGCAAAAAACTAAAGTGGGGTGGCTAGTCGTTGGGCCCATTCCAGTTGATCATTCAACTCCCACTATTCATTGTAATCTTAGTATTGATAGAATTCAAACATGTTTTTGGGAAATAGAGGAAATTCCGGGAAATAAACCTCTCTCGAAAAATGATGAGTTCGTCGAATCTCATTTTCTTGATACATTCACCCGGAATAATGAAGGTAGATTCATCGTCACTATTCCGATCGAAGGTGACCATGACACCTTGGGCGAATCTTACAATGTTGCAAAAAAGCGATTCTTACACTCAGAAAACAAATTCAGGGCTAATGAACATTTTAAGATTCAGTACTTCGAATTCATGAGAGAATATATATCTCTGAATCATATGAAAAAGATTGATACTTCACAAGATGATCAAATACATACGTATTATTTACCTCACCACGGTGTGATAAAGGAAAGTAGTCTTACAACCAAGTTGCATGTTGTTTTCGATGGGAGTGCTTCCACTTGTACCATAATATCTCTCAACAGTCTACAGTACGTTGGTCCTACTATTCAGCAGGATCTCTTATCAATTTTATTGCGCTTTCGGAAATACAATTATGTTATTGCTAGCGATATCGAAAAAATGTATGGCATGATACTAGTAAATTCCGAACAAACCCCCTTGCAAAGAATATTATTTCGCTTTGATCCCCGCGATCCCTTAGATACCTATCAGTTGCTCACTGTTACCTACGGAACCGCATCTGCATCATACCTAGCTATTCGGTCATCATTCCAATTAGGCATGGAACTAGAAACGGTTGATCCTAAAATCTCTGAAATCATCAAAGATGATTTTTATGTCGATGACATGTTGAGTGGTGCAGATACTATCCAGGATGCTATATACATTGCCAATAAGGTTTCAGATGTTCTCAAAAGCGGCTGTTTTAATTTGAGAAAATGGATCTCAAACAGTCCAGAAATATTGAAAGGTATCAAGTATGCTGATACTTCAAATTTCATTGATTTTGGCGTCAATGAAAACATTAAGACCGTAGGAATTCTTTGGAATAGTAACTCAGATTAATTAGTGTTTAAGATGAGCCTACAGCATTCATTTCTCTAAATATAATAGTACAGAGTAGATTTCACACTATGAACAGTGTCGGATCCACCGGAAGTTGATAAATAATGAGGAAAATAAATTGTTACACTAATGTATAAGTACATTTCATGAAGTTGAAAGAAAAATTTGAAGTTCCAAATATATAGTTGCCCCAGGTTCATGCTAACAAGAGCCTCGACAACTATAGGACCTCGATTCTTGTGAATCTTCAGAGTGCTGGCCGGCGATTTCATGCTGAGTAGATTGACCAACACAGGTGCGTTTCGGCCTGCCTGATTCATGATGTGCTGGCCTATTCACAAGTTACTAAACGCAAGATTTAAACAGAAATTTCTCAGGTCTTTGATCCACTGGGTTTGCTCAGCCCTTGTATTATAATTGCTTAAATCATGTTACAAGAGCTATGGTCTGCCAAATGGTCCTGGGACGAGTCTCTACCAGTACCATTACACACAAAATGGTTATCATTTCGCAATGAACTCGTCATTCTTAATGAAATCCAAATAGATAGACAAATTACTTGTAAAGAACCTAAATATTGGGAAATTCATGGATTCTCTGATGCGTCTCAATTAGCTAACGGCGCGTGTGTCGACATAAAGTCAATAGTTGAAAATAATGAGGTTAGCGTCAGATTAGTTTGCGCAAAATCAAAAGTGGCACCTATCAAACAGTTGACTATTCCACGTTTAGAGTTATCAGCTGCACTGTTGCTGGCTAAAATCTCGGAAAGATTGAAGAAATCATTTAAAAGTCCCGAAATTACTAGCTACTATTGAACCGACTCCACCATCGTGTTAGGATGGCTTAGGATGGAACCCAATCAATTGCAAACTTTCATTGATAATCGTGTAGCTACTATACAGGATTGAACTAATAAAACCTTCTGGCGTCACGTCCCTACTTTACAAAATCCAAGTGACTGTGTGTCACGAGGGGTAATGTCAAAATTGCTGAAAAGCATGGACTAATATTGGCATGGTCCAGATTGGCAGAGAAGCGATGAAGAGGTTTGGCCTCGTTTGCCAGCAAACAACTCTACTGAACTACCAGAACTTCGCGTAGGGTTGTTAAGTCATACCCATAAAATAGAAACTTCTAATGAAATATTCAACCGCTTCTCTCGATTCACAAAATTATTTAGAGCTATGGCATATATATTCAGATTCTAAAATAATGCTATGATTAAATCTAACCGGAAGGTGGGGCTTTTGAATTTAGAAGAAATTGATCTATCAAACAAAAACCTCGTTAAATTATCCCAGTCTGAATCATTTGGAAACGAAATTCGTGATTTATTGAAAAATGAATTGAACATCAAAAATGCTTCGAGCAGGCTCAATCCTTTTATTGATAAAGATGGATTGCTACGATGTGGTGGCAGGTTAGTGAACTCGCAATTTGATTACGATTAGAAGTTTCCTATTTTGTTGTCTTTCAAACACTCCTTTACCAAGTTGTTGTTCAGAGAACAGCATTTAAAATTGTTACATGCGGGTCCGCAACTTTTGCTAACTTCAATACGTGATAAGTATTGGCCTCTAGCAGGTCGAAATCTTGCGCGAAAAATAGTTCGTGAGTGTACACGTTGTTTCAGAGCCAAACCGACTCTAACACATCCCATCATGGGAAACTTGCCAGAAAAGCGACTGATTCCCGCTCCGCCTTTTCACACAACAAGATGTGATTATGCAGGTCCTTTTCTGATCAAGAACAAACGGGATCGTGGTGCTAGAGTATCAAAATGTTAGATAAGCTTATTTGTATGTTTCACAACTCGCGCAATTCACCTAGAGTTGATGTCTGATCTCTCAAAAGGAGCATTTATTGCTTCATTAAGGCGTTTTGCAGCCCGTAGAGGTAAGCCAGCCTTCATTTATTCTGACAACGGCACTAACTTAACTGATGCTAAAACAGAAATTGAAAAATTAGTAAATTTTTTGATAAGTAACAGCGATGAATTGACGAACGAAATCAGAAATATGGGAATATCATGGTCATTCATACCCGCATACTCACCACATTTTGGAGGCCCTTGGGAGGCTGGAGTAAAATCATTGAAACATCACTTACGGAGAGTTGCTAGTAATGCTTCACTCACATTCGATTGATTTTATACCCTACTCACTCAAATAGAAGCCACACTAAATTCTCGTCCTC